AAGGAGAAGGAGAAGGAGAAAAGGAGAAGGAGGAGGAGGAGGAGGAGGAGGAGGAGGAGGAGGAGGAGGAGAAGGAGAAGAAGGAGAAGAAGGAGGAGGAGGAGGAGGAGGAGGAGGAGGAGGAGGAGGAGGAGGAGGAGGAGAAGGAGAAGGAGAAGGAGAAGGAGAAGGAGAGAGAAGGAGAAGGAGAAGGGTGGTGAGACGGCTCATTCACCACCAAGCCTGAAGCCCTCAGAGTTCATCCTCTGCCATGTGTGCTGGAAAGGATTGACTCCCACAGTTGTTCTCTGACCTACACACCTACACACACACACACACACACTGCAACAAAAAAAAAAACAATGTAGAAATTTATAGAGTAACATCAAGTAAAAATAAGCAAAGCACAAAAGAATGTATTATGCCATGCCCTTTGTATAAAGAAAGGAAATGTGCTAATAGTTTATGTCAACTTGACACATGCTAGTCATCTGAGAGGAGGAAGCCTCAATTGAGAAAGTGTCTCCATAAAAATTGGGCTATAGGTAAACCTGCAGGGCATCTTCTTAATTAGCAATTGATGTGGGAGGGCTCAGCCCATTGTGGGTGGTGCCATCCCTGGTTCTATAAGACAGCAAGCTGAGCAAGCCAGTAAAGAGCATCCTCCAGGGCCTCTGCCCTGCTTGAGGTCCTGTCCTGACTGCCTTCAATGATGGGCTAGGATGGGAAAGTGTAAGCTGAATAAACCCTTTCCTCCCTAACTTGATTTGGTCATGGCATTTCATCGCAGCAATAACTAAGGCAGAAAATGTTTTAAAATGTTAAGTTAGGGCTGGAGACAGCCAGCAGACAAGAGCACTTGCTTTTAACACACCTTTACACCTTTACAAAATAAAAGCATTTTTAAAAAGAGAAACGATATTCTCATTGTGGTATTGAACATTATTGCCATCAGTAAACTTGATGAGCCTCTCCACCAGATAAACATTCTAGTATGTAATGGTCAGTTTTGTAATTGTACTATAGCTATAAAAGAGAATGTGGGTGTTTTCTAGAAAATACAAATATCAACCAGTAAAGGACCATTACTGTTTACAATTAAATAGTTTAAGTGTGTGTGTGTGTGTGTGTGTGCCCACGCACACACACACATACACACACACATGCATATAGGAGGACATGGTGACACCATAATAAAAATTAATATGTGATGATTCTTAGTAAAGAGTACACTGTGGAAGGCTTAAGAGTTGGCCCAGTGGTTAAGAGCATTTGTTGACTTGAGTTCAATTCCCAGCACCCACATGGGGGTTCACTGCTTAGGCACCAGGAATGCATGTGGTGCACAGATATACAAGCAGACAAAACAATCATAAACACAAAGTAAAATAAATTAGAAAAAAAAAAAAAAGAGTAGAGTCAGGCATGATGGTATGAGCCTTTGAGACCAGGATTTTAAAGCCTCAGTAACACAGAAAGACTATCTCTAAACCAAGGGACAAAGCACACACTAAAGGTGCTCCATCTCATTCAGTGCACAACAGATGTAAATTATACCTGTTGCACAACCCTTTAATCGCTCTGAATGGTTAAAATAAGAGTAACTATGTAGCAAAGCACGACAGCACCCAGGAGGGCAAACTGGTATCCACTCTTGAGAAACAACTTAACCGACTTATTAAAACCCAGCACAGTGATCATACTCTAGTTAGTGGGCTAACAGAAATGAGACACAAAGTTATAAGGATCTCCATAAGAATTCTCCTAACAGCCTAACATAATCACCATCAGAGAGGCTTCACCCAGCAGCTGATGGAAACAGATGCAGAGACCCACAGGCAAGCATTAAGCAGAACTTCGGCAATCCTTTGGAAGAGGGGGAGGAAGGATTGCAGAAGCCACAGGGGTCAAAGACACCACAAGAAAACCTATAGAATAACTAACCTGGACCCATAGTGGTTCACAGAGACCGAATAGCCAAGCAGGGAGCCGTCATGGGACTGACCCTCTGCACATATGTTACAGTTGTGTAGTTTAGCGGGACTTCTAACACCAGGAGCCTGCCTCTGGACCCCTTTCCTCCTATTGGGCTGTTTTGCCTCAACAGGAGAGGGTGTGCCAAGTCTTAATGCAACTTGATATGCCAGGAATGACTGATATCCATGGGAGGCCTCCTGCTTTCTGAAGAGAAGTGGAGAAGGAGTGGATGGAGGGGAGTAGGTAAGAGGAAAGGGGGTGAAGGTAGGAGGAGAGGAGGGAGGGGAAACTTGGCTGGAAATGTAAATAAATAAATAAATAAATAAATAAATAATAAAAGAATGCTCTTAGCAATATGATCTTGTTTGAAAGTCACGAAGGTCTAGTAATCACAGCAATTAACTAATTAATCAGCAACAGGTAACTCGTGTTGTTTCCAACAGTATGGGTAAAACACCCAACATACATAGTAAAAACAATATTTATAGTTACATTCATATAAAAACAAAATTAGAAAATTAGTTTCTGGTGCAGTAGTCCAGGGCAGTAGTCACTTCCGAAGAGGCACGGAGAAGCTCTGAGAAGCAGGGATGTAGTTTTGTGACCTGGGTGGTGGCTGCAGGTACATTCACTGCACAGTGACGTACCCAGTTCAGCATATGCTTCAAGAGCATCTGCCCATGCAGCTACACAGCCATGTAAAAACATCTCAAACGAGCCTGTCTGTGCTCTCCAGCTCACGTCGTAAACTGCTGTACACTCACTGCTGGTTTTCCCATTGCTTCTAATTCGCTACAAGATGCTGTAGATAGATATATATTCCCTATTCCCATAGATAGTCCCTATCAACAACATCCCAAAGATATGAAATTGACAACACATGCAAGATTCAATTAATTTGGCAGAAAGCCTGCAGACACAGAGTGAAATCCTACATAGTACTACATACAACTCATAGTCCGGTCTAAATTTTCCAGTCTGCATATTTTCCTCAAATTTTAAGATCACTTCCCAAATTTTACATTTCAGAGGTGAACTGTCACACTGTTAACTTTTTCTCTCTCCCCTGTCCTGCCCCGTGTGTGCATTCCTGTGTATGCCTGCCCAAGTGCGTGCGTGCGTGCGTGCGTGCGTGTGTGTGTGTGTGTGTTGCATTAAGGATCCACCCAGGGCCACTAACTTTTGTACTAAAAGTCATAGAAAAGCATGATCAGAAAATTTTCACAAAAATAAAAACAAAACAAAAAACAACAACAACAAAACAACGCTGCTCGGTATAATGGGAACTCTGTTGCTTCGTCAGGGACTCTGACTAACTGAGCAGCATGCGCACTGAGCCCACCTCAGCAGAGACACATGTGAGAACGGCCTCCCTCCATCTCACTGAGGAGAGCTCTAACTGCCCGCTGCCCACCACCACACCTCCTATGTGACTGGAGCTCTGTGTCACAGACATCCTTCTCCAAACTCTAACTACAGCTGGCATTTGAAAGGAGACACAAGTGATTTTACCCTTGACACCATGAGAAAGGAGTCATGGGAGTTGCGGTCAATGACAAAAGTTTGTGAAGAGGAAGTAGGTACATATGATGTGTAAATTATTAAAACCAACACTTCATTTGTCCTGGCACCCATCAAGGCTCCATTATAGCTACAGGAATGAAAGTCGTGGGAGGTCTGTGCCAGACAGTGAACTGCAGTGACTCTGAAAACCAAACGGAACAAGTCAGAGACCTCACCATCGTCTCTTTTAGTAGTGCTAGACATAGTCCTTCGGCATAGCACATGCTGGGTGAGCATTCCACCACTGAGGTGAATTCCAAGAGCCCAAGCCTCAAAAGCCCTTCTTTAATGGTTTCTTTTTTCTTCTTCTTTTTTTTTTTTTTTTGGCTTCTGTTTACTTTTTCTTTCCTGTCTCTTCTTCAATTTCAAATCAACAATAGCTTTCTTCTCAGTCACAGTAACTGATCCAGTTCAGGCAGAGTGTTCCCAGGAGTGTGACAGCTGATCCTCCTTACTCCAAATCTGCCTCCACCCTCCTCAACACACAGGCACGTACACTTACACACACCTGCTAACGTAACAAAGCCTCAAGGAGGAACAGCTGCTGTGCGCGAGCACTGGCACGAGCAGGGAAACAGTTTTGCTTCACAATGGAAAAGTACTCACTGTTCAAGACCAAACTGCCAGCAACTCCAGATCCACGCCTCAGATGTGCCATGCCTACTCAGTGTACATACCAAAGTAAATCTGACACAGGGCCCATAGAAGGCAAGCAGGGGTACACATCCAACACCAACACTTCAACCTGTTCTTCCAGTCACATAAACAACAGGTCACCTGTCACACAGGTACTGCGCTCTGAAGACAGCACCAGCAACTAAGTAACCAGTTAGGTCAGAACATGTCATCTGTCTTACATGAAAGAGTCACAGCACTGCCACCAAGGAAACACTTCAGGGTGTTGATTCAGAATAGCGGAAGTAGGGCAAAGGTCATTGCTGGCACCATCCTCCAGGCCACAGGATGACAACTAGCCACTCATCAAGGATATAGTAGGGAAAAAATGAGGGGCCCCCACACCCACGGAATCAGCACAGGTTCAGTTTTAACAACTGTAAAATACAAAACAGCATTTCCTGCTAGATGTTTCAGAATATACATGGAAGCCCCTCAGAAGCTATTCTTATGAAGTGCTTTTTTTAAAAAAAAAAAAAAAAAAAAAAATGAATCTGTAATCTAAAATCACCTGCCTGGGAAAAAAAGCATTGTAGGAGAATTCAGGCCACGCTTTGTTTCTCCTTGTCAGACTAGCCGACACCAGCTCCTGGTTTCTGTGTCATCAGTTTCTACCCCAAATATCAACAGCAAAGAAGCAGGCAAGTAAATAAGATTTTAAACTGAGAGGGCTGAAGACTGTGTGGATCTGTATGCAAGGACATCACACACTGACCTAAGAGTTGCATGTGGTGGGATGCACTGTAACCCTGGCACTTGGGAAACTGAGAGAGGAAGACTATAGGGAGCCTGAGGCCAGAAAGACCCTGTCTCAAAACAACAACAAAAAGACACTCTAAAAGTGGAGGCAGAGGACTACGGCTCAGCAGGCAAAGACGCTCCACACCAAGGCTGACAACCTGAGTTCAGCCCTCTCTCCCACAATGCAGCATGAAGGTACACACATGCATGCTCATGTGCAAGATAGACAGACAAACAGCAATCTGATTCTCTGAATGGCCCAAACCAATACAGAACACATCAAGGGTGAGAACATCCCTGGAAAACTGCTATGTTCCCCAATCAAATCAATCCTGGGCTAAAAAGATTCAAACTTAACAACAACAAACCCTGCTGCCACCTGCCATGTACTAAGTCCTTGATTTGTGCTGTCCACTTGTAATCTCTCTTTTAATTATGGCCATTGCCCTTCAAAGCCATGTTCTCATCTCTGACACCAAAGACTCTGGTCTAATTACAATTCTATACTAAAAAAGAATACAGTCTCTAAAGAAAATTAACTATGCTCTTACTGAATTAAAACCCCCAATGTTAACTATGACTAATATTGGATCAGCTGTTGAAAAGAACAGAAATTCATGCTGTAATTTAGGCATTGTTGCACACACTTTTTATATATGAGCATTTTGTGTGTGTGTGTGTGTGTGTGTGTGTGTGTGTGTGTGTGTGTGTGTATACATCACTTATGTGCCTGATACCCATGGAAGCTAGAAGAGGATGTCTTGATCCCTGGGACTAGGGTTATACACAGTTATGAGCCACCATGTGGTTGCTGGGAATTGAACTCTGGTCCTCTGGAAGAGCAGTCAGTGCTCTTAACTACTGAGTCATTCCCCTAGCCCTGTGGTACACACCTTTAACCCCAGCACCCAGGAAGCAGAGGGAAGCAGAGTTCTAAGCTCAAGGCCAGCCTGATCTACAGAGAGTTCAGCACAGCCAGAAACTACAGGGCTATGCAGAGAAACCCTGCCCCCCTGAAAAAAAAAAAAAAAAGAAAGAAGAAATTCATGCTGTAAAAGTGTCACAAGACAAAAACTACTGCCAACAAGTCACAGGAATGTGACAGCCAGTCATCCTTTAACACATGGCTCATCTGCTCATTTCACAGAGCCCTCCTGAGCTAGGAGCAGTATGCACTGTCCATAATGCCTACTGTTCCTTGGGCATCTGACATGTTACACAGGTGGTCCATGTACAATTACTGCATCTCTCGGCCACCATCCATTCCTCGAACTCCCTGAAGACAGACTCGACCTCTGGCTCACCTGTACGTGACTCCCTGCATAAAGCAGGCACTTGGTTATTTTCTTCATGCAGAGCCTACTATTAGTTTCATTCATACAGACAGACCTAAACACCAATTAAGGTCACCCTACTGGAAGATCTCTTCAAAGACTGTGTTCCTAGTACTAGCAGAGAGTGAACCCCAAATAATACTCATTTAATAAACTCAACATATTAAAATACATGCCTAAAGTCCAGTGCATATTCAAATACTACTATGTGAATACCTTTGACAAGGCTGCTGCTGCCCCAGGCTTTACAGGTTTGCCTCCTGTGGGTGCTGAAGAGCTGTTCTCTGGCTTGCTTTTTTCTACTGTTTGCGGTTTGCTTATCCCAGACACCTTAGGCACTGAGCCAACACTCCTGTTTGCTTTCTTCATTCTGGGCTGCCTCTTGGTGATGCATTTACAACCAAACCTGTGGGAAGAAAAGAAGAGGTTGAAAAGAAAATTGGAAAGCAGCTCTTTAGAAATTGTTTCTGAAAATTTCCACCACATGATAAAAGTATCTGAAAGACAGGTGTCTCAATAACAAAACAAAAATGTTGAAAACCTTTCAATTCGCGTATAGAAGGATAATATTTTACAGATTTATAATGTGTGTCCTAATCCATTCAGTAAACAGAACACCTTATATCATGGGCTGACTAGCTCCCATGAGGGCAGGCTCCAAATCCTGTGGCCGTGTCCAGTGTCAAAGGGCTTCTGTGGCTAGCTCTTCCCTCCCAGCTTTGCTAACACACACTTCTGTCTTGCGAATCCCTACCCCAGCCTTAGTTGTCCCTGTGGGCGCCCCCGAGCCTGCTTTCAATCTGCCTGCCCTGGCTTGCATCCCACGGGTCTCACACCTCCAACATTCTGTGGCCCCTAACACAATCCAGGCATGACTTTCACATCTTCACAAAATGACCTCTCAGGACCTCCACGCAGGGCCTCCACCACCACACGCCTGACTATACAGCTCTCCTTAACCGTGGGAGAAGATTCCAGAACTCCTTCACTCCTCACAACGCCTTTGCTCCTCACAACCCTTTCACTCCTCTATCCTTCAAGTCACAACCACTGCCTGAAACTGCCAAATGTGACAATTTACTTTAGATGGAACCTGGCCCCTCCCTGAATTGCATTTGCATAAGTGTTCCTTTGTAGTTGCTTTTTAGGTGGAGGAAATCCCTCAGACTTTTTCCTTTCACAAATCTCAGGATTAGCTGGGTGGCATCTTTGCCCTGAGGGCACCACTCCCTTTAACATCAGGTTTATCTTTCAACACACACCTTAGTTCTAACATCTAATTTCCAGGTGCTCTTTTTCTCCTCAAACTGTACATTCTGTAGTTTCCTTTTTGCCCCATTTCTTCTTTCTCAATGTAGATCTGCATGAGTGATCGGTAATACCACAGGACAGAGACAGTATTAGGTTGTCTTGAAATCTCTCTGCCAACAAAAGTTGTCCAAAACCTTTTTCAGTTTAGCCAAGGCTGCAGTGAAATCATGGGATGTGGCTCAGGATGGTGCTGTTAGGAAGCATGGTTGACAAAGTGTCCTTAACATTCAGAAACCTTGTACTGCAGCCCACATGGAGGTGGCAACACAATTTTTAAGAAGTCGTGTTCTAAGCAATCTGCATGCCCTAAACATCTGCCTGGGGCTGCTATAAAGGACAGAGTGAAGGGTCACAGAGCATGAGCCCAGGTACCAGAGCATGGGAATGGGAATCCCCTTACTGCCACTTCTTTTCACTGCCTTAATCTAAGCTCAAAGTATCACTCAAAAGCACTGCTCCGACTCTGATTTGCTCGGTATCTGAGAACACCACAAAGCAGCGATTCTGAGCCTTCCTAATGCTGCGACCCTTTAAGACAGTCCCTCACACTGTGGCAACCACCACAACCATATTTTTGTTGCTACTTCCTAACTATAATTTTGCTACTGTTATGAATCATAATGTAAATATCTGAGATGCAGATGGCCTCTAGTGACCCTGGCTGTTCAAACCCCCTATTGGATCTTGACCCACAGGTTGAGAAACACGGCCATGAAACGTCTCTTTGTGGGAGTGCTCTTCTCACAGCAGCTCAGTACAAGGAGCTTTATAATGGTCCAGTTCCTGCACCATTCGGAACACACCTGTAGCTCTCTAAAAGTTTGGTTTTTTTATGTATATGGGTGATTGTCTTCATGCATACCTGTGCACCACTTTTGTGCTTGATGCCTGTGGAGGCCAAAAGAGTGTTGGATCCCCTGGAACTGGAGTTAAGGATAGTTATGAGACACTACCTGAGTGCTGAGAATCAAACCTGGTGCCCCTTAAAGATCAGCCGCTCTCATTCATCCATCCATCCCTGCCTAGCATGCTATCATTACCTCTGCAATAAAAGGGAAGTTGCATTGTAAGGAATCTGTGTAAGGCATCCTCATAATTTAATGTAATTCACTGTAGTTATCTCAGTGGGAAGGCCACCAGTGACTCATGTGTTTCAATGCTTGGTCCCTAGCTGGTGGAACTGTTTTGGGAAGGACCAGGAGGTGTGGCCTTGTTAGAGAAGATGCAAAGCCTAAGCCAAACCCTTCTCTCTGTACCCTCTTCTTCTTTCCCTCCTCTTTTTCCTCCCTCCCTCTCTCCCTCCCTCCTTTCTTCCCTCCTTTCCTCCCTCCCTTCCTCTCTCCCTCCTTTCCTCCCTCCCTCCCTCCCTCCCTCCTTCTATGCCTGCCAGCCACCATGCTTCTCATCATGATGAACTCACTATCTGAAACTGGTGAGCAAGCCCCTTATTAAGTGCTTTCTTTTATAAGTTGTCTTGGTCATGGTACAGCAATAGAAAAGTAACTAAGCTATTCACCTAATTATTGACAATGTTACATAAGGACAAAGCAACAATAACATCTGTGGTGTGCCAACATAGGCTTCCTCTGGGCCTCAGACCCAGTGAAGAACAATAGGCTTGAAGTACAATAAGCATGAAGATTGCCAAGCTAAGCTATGAGGATTTCTGGTCCAGCGTGAGTTACACAGCAAGACTCAGTCTGACAATTTTTTTTTTATTTAAAACAATAGTAATAACAAGTAACAAGTAAGAGTTGGTGAGATAGTGCAGCCTGACAACCCAAGCAGAAGAAAAGAACCAACTCCCATGTATTATCCTTTTACATGCACACTGTGGTATGCCCATATGTGCATGCAAGTGTGCACATGCACACGCACAGACAGACACTCATACACATACTAAATGAAACAATAGTGTTTTAATAAATAAGATAGAGTCAGGAGACCAGGGTTCAAGCTCTAGCTTTGCCATAAGTTGTTAGGGCAAATCACTTATCTTTATAAATTCTTCTCTTAGAAACAAGAATTAATAAAGCCTAGCTTAAAGACTTCTGATATACAAAACACATTGTAAACCAATAAGAGGGAAAAAGTATTTATATCCTAGTTGTAAAGTTACCTCACCAGGGCCCAAAGGTTAGAAAGATATTGCAAAAAACCAAGGTTAGAGAGAATAGTTTATTTCCAAGATTCAGAAGCCCCATCCTCTCTAACCATCCACCCATAAAAGATATGCCAATCTAGTTTTAGAACTGATGCAATGGGACCCTATGAATTTATCTTACCTGTCATGCTGCATCAAAGAGAACCCACTCTGAATCAAGGACACTGACAGTCTTGGAGACCAAGAGGGCTCTGAGGTCAGTCCCTGGCTGGTGGGTGCCATCATCCTATCAGTGAGGGACAGGATCCTTTCTTGACACTATAAAAACATTCAAACCCTACTTTCTAAGACACAGTGGGATTTTATCTTTTCCTTTAAACACTAACCTCCACTATTATAATCTTTTTACCTCTGAAAAAGAAATGTACTGGTATTTTAAAGCACTTAAATTTAACTGCTATCTTAAGATCTTCCATGCTGAGGAAGATATAAAACAAATCCTTCATGCTTAGTTTTAAAAATTAATAACTACTTGAGATCAAATCTGTATCCAGGGACTAGTTACTCAACTCTTTAAGTTTTAGCTTCCTCATTCTCAAAATGGGGTTAGTAACAGTATGCACTATATAAGGACACTAAGATGATTAACTGGCTAAGAAAGCTAACATATTTATCAGTGTAGCAGCCCATGAAGATCTGATAGACAGAAGCTACTGAAATGTATAGAACATCCTGCATATCCTGAAGATGACTAAAACCTGATTTCAATAAAGACATCAGGAGTAGTGGTGGATCCCTGTAACCCAGCACTCGGGAGACAGAGGCAGGAAAATCAGTTCAAGGTCATCTTCAACTGCACAGCATGTGTGAGACCAGAGTGACCTATGAAACTGCCTGAAAAATAAATAAAGATTTAAAAGGCAGCATCTTGGAGCTAGAGAGACAACTCAGCAGTTAAGAGTACTAGATACTCTTCCAGAGGACTCAGGTTCAGGTTCAATTCCCAGCACCAACATGGTGGCCCACAACCATCTGTGACCACAGTCCCAGGGAATGTGACAGGGAATCTGGTCTCTATAGGCACCAGGCACACAGGTAGTGTACAGACTTACATACACAAGCTCCCATACACATAAAACAAAAATAACTTTTTTAAAAGCAGCAACTGAAAAGATACTTTGTAAGAGAATCTCCACCACCACCACCACCATTTCCTTTGAGACAGGGTCTCACTGTGGAGCCCCTTATGTCATCCAGGCTGGGTTTGAATCTACCAGCCTCTGTTCCTAAGTGCTCGGATTAAAGGAGTATTTCAGTATGCCTAGCCAGGATTCCTTTATAAGGAATGACTAAAGATTGTTTTACTTCTGACTTACATTAAATTACATACTATATAATATGTAGATGTCAACAAACAATACTAGCCTCTAGTTCTTTCTCACTGAAAATTACAAACCAGGAAACGCTGCAGATGCGTGGTAAGCAGTCCACAGAAATTATACTCAAGAGACCAGGTCTGTCATTCTGTAAATGGCTAACTCTGTGAGCCTTGTTTATAACAGCAGAGTGTTCAAAACATGTTTTTGGAAAGTAATTGCTTATTAACTGTGATTTTTTTTTTGTTTTTGTTTTTTTTTTTTGTTTTTGTTTTTTCGAGACAGGGTTTCTCTGTGTAGCCCTGGCTGATGTGGAACTCACTCTGTAGACCAGGCTAGCCTTGAACTCTTGAACTCAGAAATTCGCCTGTCCCTGCCTCCCAAGTGCCGGGATTAAAGGCGTGCGCCACCACCGCCCGGTTTAACTGTGATTTTTATGACTACCATTATCCAGCTAAAAATCTACAAAAGGTCTTGATCTGAGCAATCTAAATACATCTTTCCATAATCTCACAACTCTGAACTTAAATATCATCTTAAAATTGTAAATTAAGAACAGATTAAAACACTGGAAAGGAATCACAGTCAAGAGAACTCTTACATCAAGGAAGGTGC